GATTGGGCGATCAGCTCAACCAATGTGCTTACACCCCCAATTCTTGTTTCCGATACACAGCACACATCAATGCCAAGAGAGTCCAGTGGGAAAGCAAGAGCAGCCTGTTGACATGCTCGCTTCAGAGTGCGGATATTGAATGCAGCCAGGTAGACTGGGCGTCGAGGCTTGAAGACTGATTTCGAGATACCTGAGGATGTCGGCACTGGCTGACGCGCATATCTTGCTTGCAAAACCGGTGAAGAACGAACGGAGTTATCAGTCCTAAGTGTTGAGGCTACAAGAGGAGAGTTATTTTTGGGGTGGGGAGAGGGCGAAGAAAAGGTATGTGAAATAGAAAGAGGACCAGAGTATCCATATACCAATCACCAGGGGCCCGCTTTTGTACTCAAATGACTATAGAGGCTACTCCGGAGTCCTGTTTCAGTACATTTGACAAACATGTAGCAAAAACTGGGTAACTATAGCCTCCGTTCCATCAAAGCGCCCCGTCGGAGGATCTCGATATTCAGCCAAAAACTACACTAGCCCTAAAAAACGGAATCTTAGCTTATGGTTGACGGTGAAATCAGTAGACAATATGCTCCCGAAGTAGCAGAAGTTCGTGCAGTAGTTCACAAACTCTGTTCGACCCCTGATGCGCGAAGCGTTGGGGAGCTCACCCGGCGCAGGTTGGTGAGGAACGGAAGTCTTCTTCACATTGATATCCAGGTCCGATTGCGCAGGTGCAGTCGCAAACTCTTCAGCTAGATGTTAAAGTTTATCATGCGTATGTGCTCATGGTACGTACTAATCCGCCAACATGAGAATGCGGAACACAGTCCTGTGGAGATGAATTTCGGCGAATATCCGTATTGCGAAATAACTGCCCACAATAATTCTCAGTCAACGGAATCTAAGAACTTCTTGAACTCCCCCAGAAGAGTATGGAGTCGCTGGCGATCTTTTCGAAATTTTTCCTGAGGCTGTCGTGCTGCGACCCACGAGGAATTTACGCTGTTCTTCGGTAATGTGCTTCGATCAATTCAGCTGTCACGCAGTTGAGTAGCACCTGTTCCCTGAGCCTATCCGTGCACCTCAGTAAACTAACATCCCCATAGTATTCTCTGTACACCGACAAGATTAGGGCATATCTAAACTCTGGTGAAACTCCCCCTTCCTGCCAGATAATGTTGGTCAAATGAAGAAGTTAATAATTCCGTTGCAAGCTTGTCATTGTTATTTCCCAATTGCCTGCCTGTGTTATCTTTTCGATAGTCGGGAATAGGCATGTGAACGGATTGTAGCTCTTATTGAGACAATCTATCTACTGCAATCCACTCGACGTTAGTAAGCCGGTACAGCAGTTTGCTGACCTGTCTGTCCGACATTTCTGTGGGTGTCCGACAACAGTATCATTGGGAGTTTGGGTCAGTTTGATGCTTGGTCCATATCTGACATCCAAGAAACCGTAAACGAGGTTCCATCCAAAATGTTTTATTGGCAGATTTCGCTGCACTAAACAGGAAACATCAAGGACCTATTGTACTGGCTCACCAGAACATGTCCAACCGATTGACGTTGACAAGGTTTGTCTGATGCCCCAGATGCACCTTCCAAAGTGCCATCAAAGTCATTTTATTCTCGTATGAAATGTCGTTCACCCAATCTCCGCAAAGTGAGCGAGGGTGACCTCGATGCACGCAGTTTACTCAACGTTTCTTGTGCGCGTGCGTCAACGATTCACGTCGCAATCAGGGGTCAGCACATAAACTGAGTTAAAAAAACGTGTTGGTATATACCGAAACTGCCGAACCACCCCCTGTGACTTAAATGGGACTCATATAATAAGTCTGTGGTGCCAAAATAGTTCGTCATACCATCATCAGAATAGCACCCCGGCCAGTGGGCAGCAGAACAGGTGAGTCATTGACTTCATTAAGCCAATACGTCTGAAGTTCACTATTTTCCGAATGAAAAATTATAAAAATAACTACTTCGACGTTCTAGCTATTTACGTACCATCCACTTAGAGTACCTTGTCGTGTTGTCAGACGCGATCCACTGAAAACCAATCAATATGTAGCACTTGTAAACTGCTACTTTTCATGCTCAGTATCAGCTTCCTTCTCCTTATCGATATCAGTCACATCACTGTACAAAAGTTGGTTTTACTGAAATACAACCGCAACCGTCCGCTTCTTGGGTCTAACGTGACTTTGAGACTTATGCTGAGTGACTGTTGTTGTGACTGCCGGTTGGCTATAATTGGCTGCTGCTAATTCTAAACGTGAACAAGAATTTTAGCTACAAACACTGGACTAATCTATTCACACCTGTGGATTGATATTGCGATCAGCGGAGATTTGGAATACCTAGAAGGTAGAACTTTCTTCGTGGTGTGATGCTTCAACGGAATACGGAATCTCCTATTGTGAACTGAGTGAAGATTTACTTGGATTTTTCTCCTTGTGACTTTGTATCTGGCTTACATCATTAATTTGTTCTGTTCACTGGAGACTTTTTAGGGCCGTTAACCAGCACAAATCCATTTAAACAGGATCCACTGGACGAAGTGGTTCTGAGCAAAGCCGAATAAGAAAATCAGACTTTGATAAATGTTACGATCCCGTACAAATTAGCATCAGTTCGACTCAAAATGCATTGGAACTAAATGGTACGACAATTTGAAAAACACTGATCACAGCGGGGGGGGGGGTTTCGAAGTTAAACTCAGAGAAAAAAGTACAAGTTATATTTGGGGTTGAAAACGAGCACTGTTTATTGCTGGGAATGAATCACGAATGTGATCCTGAATGAGGCGGCTTCAGGAGAGCGACACGTGCTTCGCATGTGAAACTCCCTCTGTAAATCTCATCCTGTTACGAGAGGAAGATCTTATTGATTTATGACCAATTTAAATTAACAAGGCCCAGTACACAAGGCAGACAGAAACTCAAAGCTATGGAATGGCAAGGTTGTGGAATTTTCGGGCGCTTCCTGAAGTTGATATATGCGAAAAAGAACAAGATGGATTCCAATAACTCACCAGAAGGCTTCCGCACGCAAAAAGATGCCGACGAAATGAGCGGAAAGTTGGAAGAGACAGTGTGCATTGAACCTGAACATACGAAACTGCTTGGTTCAAATGCAAGTGAACTCGAAACTTCCCCACCAGAAAGTGGAACACTACATAGCCGACCAACCACTGCGCGTATCCCTTTTAGACCTATTCATCTATTTGGATCGTACCTAGAAAAATGCCAGAACGGCGCTTCGACAAAAAAGGTTCAAAGACGGTCACAATTTATTGTCTTAAGTCACTTAGCAGGCAAGTCCGGCGAGGCGAAAACGGAAGTTAAACGTGTTACACCAGATGCAATAGCAACTGTATATTTGCCGACTATATATCGGAGACCATACAGACACAACAGTACCAATCATACATATAACCTAACAGCGTCAGGTCTAGTGAATACCTGTGGGAGGACGAGAATTTTAACGTTAAATAGAGGCGAAAATGATTTGGATCTAGGAGTGGATTCGAGGATCTCTCCGAGAGCCTGCAGGCCAGCCAACCACAGGACACAGGTGAGACGATTCACAGGATGTCGGCTTGAACATACATATCCCCACTTCACAACAGAATCGTCTTATAACCAGTTAAGAAGAGAAGAATACCTGAAGGAGATGCACCGACAAATACGGTTAGAGTTGGAGACCCAGGTAGAGTGTGACGTGAGTAGGCGCTCGAATCGACCACGTCGATTGTATCAGATTCCGAATTCGGTGAGCTCAGTCACTAAAGCCGGTATGATAAGGCTCCTGGCGATGCCACTATCGGGGCCTACGTTATTGCGCCTGGGTATTTTACATAAAAAGTGTACGAAACTGAGCAGGCGGCTATTAAAACAGGGTGCACTTGATCGCCTTACAATTCGTTATCAAGGAGGGAATTCACGAATACACCACGTGACACAAAAACGTATTCCGAATAAAAGGCAGACAGTGTTAGTACCGGAGGATGGATCAAATCCATCACAAATCATTGAGCTGTATCAGTCAGCAGCTAGTGAAGTGTATAACTACGCACAGGATACAGTCGAAGTGAACCTCATCCAAAGGTGGACTTGGCCTCAAGAAGGTAGTGAAGATATGCTGGAAACAGACCAACCGAAATACACAGATATATATAAGAACTTATTAGTGAAATTTAGACGCAATGATTTAAAGCATGCGTCATGGAAACGTGGTTCACGACATGTCCAAGGTAAACAAGGAAATTTTTCCCCACAAGCACCGCTGAAAAAAACAAGCTATTTAAATTTCTCATTAGATAAAATCGTCCTGGAGGGGGAAGATTGGCGCGGGGGTCTTTTAGCACAGGGACTGAGTTTCAATCACGAAGTTGGATCGACGGAAGAAAGGTATCTACAACACTTAATAGCCTTGGCACGACTGCAATTGCTCACTCAATTAGAAGAGGGTGAGGCAGTAATACCAATGACAAATGAAGCGAAGTATCCATGTGTTCTCCGGAAGACACTGCATGAGGGTGCTTTTTCTCAAATAGCATCGGAAGAACTCTCGCAACTGAGGACAGTGAACAACAATTTGCCATGGCTTATTGTATCCGACCCGCAACACATGTACTCAAAATTGGCCCTGATACGGCGGGAATCGTGGAAACAAATAACAAACAAAACTACCATGCTTTCAAAACAAAAGTTACCTAAGCTTCTAGAGGTAAAGCAATTCTGTCATAACGAAAACCCTTCGCTGGGACCAGGAACCTTAGCAGAATGGGGGGCACTAAAGTCAAGCTTAAGGACATTACTTGCAGACAAATATCTCCCGTTGAAGCCATCACGATGTGCATACACAAAATTCTCAGAAAACTGTCGAGAAAAAGCATATCACAGGAACAGTGTGAGGCTCCCACAAATCAAAGCCGGAGTAAAATTACGAAGACAGCAAAACAAGTCAATATTTTCAGGAGACGATGGAAGGGTACAACAGCGGACAGATCATATTGAACTGTCAGCCTTAGAACACCATGAGCAAACACTGAAAAAAAGACCATCCAAGAAAGCGGGTCACTTGGATATCAGGGAAAGCAGCGTAACAGCTTGTGGAACAGTCTATGGACAGGAAAGCACTAGAAAAGACTAAACCCTTGTGTAAAGCTCTCGTTTTTCAACTTTTGATATTACTGTTTCACAGAGATGGTTGTCAAGGAAAAACCATGGGGAATGTGAATTTATATGCCAGAACTACAGTACCCTGCAACTCACCACACCGAGATGATTCAACTGTAAAATACTTGTACAACGCAACTGACGTACATACATCCTCCCATGCAAATATAAACGTATCTCAGTAAGGGGTGGGCGGAGTAGGAAACAAGCTCAGGAAACAAAACAGAATACATGGAATATGCGAACATTTTTCGAACGACCATCTAAACATATGATAACAGTCAGCTGGATTCAGTGGATGGTCGGGCATCACGGCGAATAATCTCAAGAAAAGTGGTGTACGGAGATATGAGCTGTACAAAAAGGGACTGCGAAGAAAGTATCATCTGCAGGTGCGATGTGCGAGTGGAACATGAAATGCACCGGAAAACCAGAGGGTAGTACCTGGTAGTGATCTGATCCCGCTGCCTGTGGCGTAAAAACCATGAGTAATGGGAAAACTAAGATCCACCTCCTATGTTGAAAGCTTCACATTGCATCAAGGCAAAGAACGTTTTAACTCAGTTAGATGACGGTGGATCTTGGGGGGTATTATATGAGTGTTTTAAGGTAGTATCTTTATGGGGCTTATAGTGTTTCCGCTGTTTAGAATAGGCTGGTCTGTGTGGATCCAACAATTTCTGATCGACGCTATCATATACGGTGCCAGCAGTTTCGCCTGCACAGGCGCCAGGAATGTCACTCAGGGGCAGTGCAACAGGAGGTCGAGGAGGAGTAGTTTTGCTCGAAATTTGTGGGGTTAGCTTCCTGAGTGCCCGGTTTCGAAGGTTTTGTGGTGCAGCGTCGGCCAGAGGAATAGTTTCCTTGACGGTACCTAAACACAAGAATGGGAAACCAGACAAGTGCTGAAAGGAGCATAAAGTGCTGGGACATAGAATATATCACAAAGCATGGAAGATTGACTTGGGGTCATCAGATGGTATCAGCGCGGTACGAAAACTATCCACAATAGACCTTGCTTTGAAACAAACCAATGAACTAATAACGAGTACGAAGAGGATCAAGATAATTTTGAAGGGTCATTTCAAATGATGCGGATGCCAGTGCAAACAAAAAAAGGTAATACTCTTGTTGGTGAACCGGAAGAATGAATAGCTTAGAATGAACAATCGATAATCAAAACTACGCTCAAAGTTTCGGAACCGAAAAAAGAACAATGGCAAATAAATAGTAGAAAACAGCTGGCAATCCTTTTCGTTGGGCAGCGTTTAGCGTTGGCTACAAAGTTGTGTCAAGAACAGTGGACAGATTGTGGTGTTCGCCTAGTTTCGAAACAAATTTGTGGAACATTTTCTCGAATGCACTGAGGCGAACGCAGCGGGTAAGCGGTGTTGATTGCGGTTTAATGGGCTAAGTGGAAGAGTACCAATACTGATAAATAGGGTAATCAAGCAAGTCCCATGACCTGAGAACAGTATCGGAGCATTGATTTCCAGGTACAGACCTATCAATCAATCAATCAATCAATCAATCAATCAATCAATCA